ATATATATATATATATATAAATATATATATATATATAATTAAATGTATGTGCGCCCTTGGGTGGCAAGTTAGTAAACAGTTGCATTGTCAGTCGTAAGTCCCCTCTGACCTGAGTTCGATTCTAACGGGGCGCATATCACATATGGCGAGTAATATTCTTGAATACTACCTTTTTTTAATATGATTTTTTTTAAAGCCCAAAAAGGTAATATATTAAATAGAAAGAAAGATTCATATACAATGTGTGGGAGGGTCCAAACATGGCACCCTGCCCACACAAAAATCACAAATTGTTCCAAAACTAGAAAAAACTGAAAAATGCATCAGATACTTAAATAAAAAGCCTAACATTGTCGAAATACATAATATCATGTGGCTAGAGAGCGACCCAATTTTGTCTCATTATCAAGAGGGATAATTAATCATATGGCTTATGACTATGGGAAACCAATGTCTTAAAGTCCTCACAAAATGAGGGTGTGATATTTGGGTAGTGTCTTATCTACCATCTCATCTGCCTGGTAAAAATTTGACCTAGAAACTCATGTTAAACTCTCACTTTCATTTATTTCATTTCGATGGAGGTCAGCAGAAGGCATGCCATTTCTAGTAGGCATATGTTCTATTCAGTCCTCTTGATGCTATTTGCCTTTTAATTGTACAGTTAGGTGTGTGTTTACTTATTATTAGTGATGTAAGTTAAAAATGAGACTAATAACATACAAAGATTAATAGAAGACATGATATGACTAAATCGATGACCTCCTCGATAAATGTCATATTATTATAATGCATTTATATTTTCTTATATTTTTACACACTCGTCATATAGTCCTCTTACTTTTATATGGAAAAAAAGTTGTAAAAATGTTGGAACATCTTATTGCTATCTTTGCATGTTTTAACACTCAACATGCATTCTTACATTGGCTGGCCGCATCATGGACAATTTTGTCAATTGCATAAAGCTATGCATGACCATGGTCATGAGATGGCATAAATAGTACAATGATAAAGAATTAATTATGACCGGCTCATGTGATGACAAAAAAAATGAAGAAACAAATGTTTCATATTCCATAAATCATGTGACCGTCCAAGAACAATCATGTATGTGTATTTCCATAATCTTTCTTGATCATTTGAATTACTACAAATATTTATCTTCTTAAACTTATGTGTGGGTATACATTAAATTTAGCTTATAAGCATTATATAATAAAAAAATTAATCCACATTGGGTGTAGTGTTGCTTCTTCTTTAAGATTTGCCCAGTAGCAACTCTGAACCTTGGTTCATAACCTGAATTTAACCTACTTTGGTGATAAGGTTTTCATTCTTGGGGGGTTTTCATTTACTCGTCATCTTCTCAACAGTCCTCTTAAATGTTTTGGAGCATAACTCTATGTTCCACATCTTCTCTCTTCTAGCTTTTACCGATAAAGCCAATCTGTTAAAATGTCTCAATCCAGCAAGTTCGCCTTTCATCAACTCCATATAGCAAAACTTTCCCATCACAGCCCCAAAGAACTTCAACATCACTTTCCTAGCATCCTAAGCTATTGTATAAACAACACACAAAATCAATAACCTAAAAATCGGCTCAATTCCCACTACTCCTTGTTATATCCATCACAAACACACCAACGTTATATTTTCCTTCATATATCAATCGATTAGGTCCAATCACCCTTGGGAATTTTCTCCATGGTTTAAGGAAATGTAGATCCAATTCCTCTCATAGAATAGCTACCTCACCCTCATCCATGTTGGTTGATATCCAGTTGCTATTCCCCATAAAACAACCCTCGTTCAATGGATTATAAATCTACATCTTCACCATCATTATTACTGACATCGTTCTTCCTCCCTAACTATTGTGCTCATTTGTGATTTCCTTGCAAATTATGAATCCTCTAATTAAAATGACAACTTAGAAATACCCTTATGATAAAAAAAAAATATAAACATCTTTAATCAAGAGTTTTCCTCGGCTTCTCGTCCATGACAAAAATTAATCATCGGGAGCTAAGCGCATAGGAAAACAAACAAGCTATAATTAAAAAAATCATGATTGATAGCATTTGTCATTCATGACAGATAGTCTTTTCATTATGGAGTATCTCTATGATACAGAACTCATTTGTCTTCAATTGATTGACAAGCTTGGGAGAAAATGCCACTGTTAATTCTCACTCCAACCAAATAGTACAGTCTGATTTCCTCTCCTAAGATCACGAGGATCTTTCGAAATCCACATAGTGGGGCACTTCAAACTCAAATTTTCTATGAACTCACACACCATTTGTCTTTGGTACCAATTGATGTCAACATGAAAGCAAGAAGAATCTTCTTGAAGCTAAAAACTTTTGGAGGCCTGATGATGTTGATGACAATCTGCACATTGGTTGTAGACTAATGAGGGATGGGGTCCTCCCAAGGGACGAAAGAAAGTAAGAAACAGAAAAAGGATGGAGAAGCCAAGAGAGGGAGAGGAGGTCATCTGCCCTTAGCTTGCAAGCTTTTTTAATTCTACATCAATTAAATCCTTTACAAATATTATCTTATTATATAGAGGATTTTAGATATAAGAAAATGACAATAACTAATCTAAAGAGAAATCAAAACAAATCATGATGTCTCTTTCATAAAGACAAATCTTCTATTATTTTTTTCTTTATGAAAGAAATTTTTAAATAAAGAAAGCCTTATTACTATTTATTGCATACCTACTCCTAATATAGCGGGTAATATGTATAAATAAGCCAGATTCAAAAAAAGTGTTGACATGTCAAATATTTGTGTCATGCATCACTATAGCTCCTTGTACGCCTATTAGAAAGTTTTAAAAAGCTAAAAGAAGAATAAAACCTACCTTATTCAATCACGCCTGCCAAGACCAAATGGTCTAGAAAGCAGGCTGATTTTTCTAGATGGAACTTCCTGCTGTGTGTCCTGATTGGTCCTTGCATGTGAGTTATCCAACGACGCCCTGCCGAAAACAGAAAATAAGGCTATTATTATTAATTTTTTACTTTGTCTTTTTTTTTTTTTTGCTAAAAGGTGAGTCTATTTATCCATACAATTAACTTGTTGACAGTCTTCCCTTCAATCAGCCATTGAAGGAAAATTCGTTTTGTGAAAGACAATAAATAATGCAGCTGTTTAAAAGATGGCCCAGTCATTACCATGCACATGAAACCTATACTAGATCAGCAGCATAGAAGATACTCGTTAACATGACTTGAATTATCGCACGAAAAGAAAAATCTACCTTGGAGAAGTAGATGAAGGCCCTTGTGCTTTTGTTGGGCTGGACTGACTCTGCAGGGTAGCTGCCAACATCGTTTCAGCCATTACAGCCCTCTTTTCCATTTGTGCAATCAGAGCCATGGTTTCTTCATACTTTTCCTGCATGAATCTGGTAAGAATGGATAAATACATACAGAAAGTAAAGAAAGGTAGGTCAATAAAATTAAGGCAATTTGAATTAGTTACATATGATGTAAGCTTACAGTATCAGCAGAGACTGGATTATATATTAGGCAAAATAAGCATGACTTTTAAAATGACAAGAAGAATGGCAGATGCATTAATGTCATCATCATCATCATCAACAGCCCGTACGCCAAATATTTGGAATCAGCTAATATTCATGGTAACCATCACACTAAAACCTAAAAATGACGTCGGTCACTCATTGTAGGATAAAAAAAGGATTACACACATTTAATCCATTAAAAAGAGAAGAAGCACAAATTAATTGAATAAAACGAGCAAAGCCTCTTCATATTGTTGGCTTTTTTAGGAATATGAGGCTGTAAGGCTTGACTTGAAAAGGGAGAGTATTGCAGTAATTGCCACAAGATGAGCATATGAGAGAGAGAGAGAGAGAGAGAGAGATTAGAAGCACAGGATTTCTTTGAGATGAACCAGTGCTTAAGTTGGAATCTAGGATAATCATGGGGCATACTTCATTTATATTGAGGATAATAAACAAAATATCGTACTAGCACTATTTACAGAAAAAGAATTGAAAATTTAAAGATCAACTAATCATATCATCTAATCCAAATTAAAATCAAATCCTATAGAATTTGAAACATAAATTAAGGATATTTAAAAAGATAATTCCAAGCTAATTTATATAAAAATAAGCATTATAAGAAAATACAAGTTTAAATTCAGGAACTAGCCGTATGTGGATTCAGTCTGGAGAAGCCATGAGCCTGAGTTACAAAGTTCATGTACTGCATCATTATGATTCTATGGTTTTGGGTTGTTTTGATTTGAGATTACATCATGCAAGTAATTAATTGATCGGTATGAAACTGACCACAGTACATGCTACAGAGTTATTGGTACTAAACAGAATTGTCTCGAGTGGTACTTACTCTTATGATCTCATAAAGTTTTAAAATACAAAGCAATCTTGAAAACCATTCATTTTTACTTGAGGTAATATATGTAAACTTGGAGTAGACAACATTACAATAATGGAATGTGGCAAATAGAGAGTGCATTGCAAAGTTCAGTAAGTTAATTGCTTCAATACAAGCAATACAATAAGAGATGCAGCATAAAGAGAAATACAACTAAACTTCAAGTGCGGAAAAAAACCTGGAGCATGTGGGAAGCATATTTTTGTGCAGCAGCATCTTGCTCGGCAAACATGCGGGCATCTTCCGTTACCTTCTGCTCTTGTTCAACCCGTATCAAGACCTGCAATTATGCGTTCATATATTATGACATAAAGCACATCCTAAATATCTGAAGGCAAGTAGCAGATCATGCAGAAAAGGTACAAATAGAAACTGGTCGAACGCAATACCTGAAGCATGGCCTGCTCCTGTTCTTGCTTATCTGAAAGAGCTTGCCGCAATTCTGAAACTTCCTGCTCAAGCTGCTCGACCTTAAAAGTAAATGAACAAAACAGAAAGAGTTATTGATGAGATGATTTCATTTGGCCATTGGTAAAATTCTATTCTTATTACTATAGATGGCTAGAAAGATTCACTATGGAGATAATTTCTATACTAAAGAAATTACATGGAAAATAAGGAGACAAAAAAAAATTTACATATAATTTAAATTGATATTTGAAGACAACAAATAACACAAAATTTGATTTGAAATGATCTAAGAAAAGTGTTTAAAAAATAGTTTGAACTTAAGGAAATATAAGATGGAGCACTGACTACATTAGCATTAGTTGCAGTTGCTAAAGAGTTACCACTCATTGGTGGATTATATCAACAGCCATTATCTTGCTGAGTTTGTTAGGAAAATAAAAATAATAAATATTCAATGTTCGTTACATTGATGCAAGCCATTTGATTGAGTATACAATTTTCCTGAATGGTACTTAATTCCACCAGATCGGTAATCAGGTCTCCTCGCATGGTTATTTTAATAAAATCCCCTCTCGAGTTGCAGTCGTTAAAGAGTTCCCACTCATTGGTGGATTATATCAACAACCATTATCTTACTGAGTTTGTTAGGAAAATAAAAATAATAAATATTCAATGTTCGGTACATTGATGCAAGCCATTTGATTGAGTATACAATCTCCCAGTACAAAACTTAATTCCACTAGATAGGTGATTAGGTCTCCTCGCGTGGTTATTTTAATAAAATCCCTCCCCACCCCACCCCACCCCACCCCGCCGCGATTATTTCATAGCTTTTCAAGTGGAACTAGTGGTGTAGAGGATGGTGAAATGACTGGATCAGCGATTACTGGCAAGACAAAAGAAAAATACAAATCTTTTTTTTTATAGCAATATAAATTATAAAACATTAATAAAAAAGTTGGGAAGGAAAGCTTGGTTGACGTGCTGGGATCGAGTCCGACAAAGGTGCAGATTGGAGTTTTGAAGGTCTCCACATGTCATGATCCCGTAGTTGCTTTCAGTAGTAATGGAAAAAAGGCAGATGTGGCACAATAATGCAGCTTAAGTAGCTAGGAGGCAAGATGGAAGTTTCGAAGGTTCTTTGTACATAGCAATTACATCATTGCCTTAACTACGATTGTATCACGGGAATCACGATCACAAGAAGGAAGAAGGGACTTCGACGAGTGGGTCGCATGAGATACAGACGACAAACGACAGTTTGGAAGGTCAGCGTATTTTGCAATCTGGTGATTGCTCTTTTGTTGGCTCTAGTCATGGCTGTAGCACGAAGGTAGACAAGGTCGAGAGTTTCGGAGGTCATTATCAGTTGTGATCTGTAGTTGGTTTCTCGCTAACAAAGTCACAACTGCATTGTGAGGAATGTGGAGCAAAGGAGAGAGACGAGAGTTACAAAGGTCTTTGTATGCCTTGATTCCATCATTGTTTTCCCGTTGCCTCTAGTCGCAAGTGTATCACACAAGATGGGGCAAGGCGGTTTGAACAAGAAGTTTCAGTGGCCTTTCTACCCTACAATTCTGTCGTTGCCATCAAAACTATCCCTAGACAGGATTATATGAAAAGCAGCCGAGCAAAAGAGTGAAGAAGGGACTTCAATTTATGCTTCGTACCTGAAGGGAGAGGTTGGAGTTAACAACGAGGGAGTGTCATTTTCATCCCAGGAAAAAAATGATGTCGTCAGGATGCAGGTAAGTTTTAGGAATGGAAGGGGAATTACGTAGAATTTCAATTTATTTAAATTTTTTAATTCCATTTTTATGGTCAACAAGTTATAATATTTGTGTGGTGGTAAGCCAACTTTTGTCGGTTTTAAATGGATGTTAGTCAGTCAAATATTATTAAAATATAAAATGATACTAAGGATTGAGTGTGTTAACTATCGCGAATCCATTATGCAAAAATTTGAGAATGCACATGAAGATATTACTTCTCAAACAAAGTTTGGGCATTTGAAATGAAGAAGTTCCTAAAAAATATTATCTAAATAAAATAATATCATGGAAAATAAAATATAATTTTTCGTAAATTCGCCATATAGATTGTGTTGAATGATAAAAAATCAATAATAGACAGCTTAAGTGATGAAAGAAAAGGTTAAGAAGACGGATGTGTCATAGTATTATGCTAGCGCCTAAATTGCAATTTAGTAATTTATTATTTATTATTATGGAGTATAAATAGGGTTAATATGTTTACAGTTAGGTAATGCATGAGATGATGGTCTTGAGTCTTAGTTTGGGGTTTGGGAGAGATCACCTACCTCTCAAAATGTACGTGTTGGGAGAGATTGTCTACCTCTCTAATTGTAGGTGCTTATCTTTATTGTTTAAGTTGTATTGTCATTTGTTAGCAAAGAAAAATATTTTGTTTGTCTCAACTTCTGTGGAAAAATCTTCTTGGATCATAATAAATTGGTATCATAGCATAAATCCATCTTCACCACAAAGCCCTAGTCGCGATAACTCTCTAAGAAGCCAACTATAGATCGTTCATAACCTGACATTAAGTAAAGTCATGCTTCGAAACTAGAAGGGAAACCAACAAGATCACGGCGTACAGTGCCAACGATGGGATCATCGCGTACCATCAACTGCACCAGACAAGTCTATTCTACCTAGTTGGGAAGCCAATGACAGGATTGAAGCGCAGCACAGAGCACAGCATCGCGTATCGGGCGATACAGTCGTGATAAGAGCTAACTAGGAAGCGATGATGGGATCGTGCAAGCCAATTGCAATCGAGCTAACTGGGAAGCCATGACAGGACTGCTTATAGGGTGAGCTAGGTGGGAAGCAACAATGGGATCGCTTCAGCGTACAAATGTGAATAAAATGATTGTGCTTAGATAGTGATTGTTATAATATGCTTAAATGTGCATTTTTTATTATGAATTCACTCATGTATGGTACTAGCGAAAGAATATTAAGGTACTCGTGCACATAAAAAGAAAAAAATATTGATATTGAAGTACTTTAACTAGTACAAATTTTTAGAATATACTCTTATAATGGTTTTACAGATATAAAATGGCATAAACATGTTATCTACATGGTAAAACACATTGAACATTATGAAACAACGTAAGCGATCATATTCATAAACTGTAAAATATTTCATACTTGTTTATTAAAAGATTAACTAGCATGCATATTATTTTCTTTATCATTGTGTTTCTTTAGTCCAGAAGTGTGAGTATTCACTAACTTTAGTTAGCTCACAATTCTTCTAAACTAACTTGTAAGGTTTAATTAGTTGATTAAAATATGATAATAGAAAAAAAATATTTATAAAAGATGCAGACAACCTAAAATGAGTTAAATTTAACTGGATTGTTTGGATTTAGTTTCTTTAATATCTCTTTTATTTGTTAAATGTTAACTAAAAAAAAATGAACAAAGAAAATTTTAATTTTTTCCGTCCAACTGTTTGTTCCCACTTTGGTTAATTTCAAACCCTGATCTAGGTGGTCACAAAGTTCACCCAAGACAATATAAGAGACTAATCAAATACTTAATACAAAATCAAGAAAATAAAGTAGTGGATATTACAAACATTGTTCTAAATTCTAATGCATTCTAAGAAAATAATTGTTACCATCTACGTTCATTTACATGTTCTTTAATTTTTAAACTCATCTTGCTAATCAATCCATAAACTTATATAGTATGGATACCACAGCCTTATGCAGTTTGCACTAGAATCATTGTCGCTAAGAACATGTACTGAAATTAGTTCCTAAGAGCCCCTCCTGTAAAGATATTTATGACAGCGGAGCTACCCAAAAAAAAAGGTGATTTCATCATGGTAATGGAAGAAGGAGAATCCCTTTACATGATACGGACAAAATTATATTCACCGGTATTCAATGGTGAAATTAACCAGGATATATCTGAATAATGTTAAGAATATAATAATTAAAAAAAAAACTAGCAAGACTGAATGCAGATTAAACTCTAAAACATTTTAAAACATAAGTTGCATGTGCTTGTGTATTTCAAATAAAAAGCTCCAAAAGAAAGAACAAAGTTCGTTTCAATTATCATATTATAGAAACCAAATATGAAAACATACCCTAGCACTCAAGAGCCGTCTGTTATCTTGCTTAACCATCTCCATCAATGCTATCTCCAATTCGTCTGCCCTAATATGATAACATTAATAGTGAATGGAATTTAGAATGCCTGTAAATAAGCTATGTTATTACTTTGAACCAAAAAAATAATGTTTTTGAATGATTGTCCAAATAAAAAATAGCATTTTGCACTAATGCATGTAGACCTTTCAAGAAGACAAACATATCAATAAGCAGAAATAAAGGCTATGCATATTCATAGCAACATACTGACAGTAGCACCCGAGCAAAGATTAAAAGCAAAAGGATGTAAGGTCTCTCTGCAACGACCTTCAATAGTTCATAGAAATCATGAGACATGGTAGCTGGCATAAAGGTAGAATTTACAATATTATTAAAAAGCTACATAAAATAAATTGGACTCAGCATAGAGAGTACTGTTTAATTTTCCCAAACCAAGACAGAAGAAATCTTTATAGAAGTTGTCATTGCATCGTTGGGTGCTAAACCAATATGAAAACAGCTATTTCAGACCAAACAGTATCAGGTTTTAAATCACACCAACTATAAGCAAGTCCATTAAGCTATTCGAGACTGATTCCTTAACATTTGACTCGTGACCTAGGAAATTACTCCAGGGTAATAAAATGAGTAAAATTAGTCTAACCTGAATGACTTAAATCAGAACCATTTAAAAAATTGCACATAAACACCCAAAGATTCCGGGTATTGATCCCTATCTTTATCATATAAACAAACAGTTGTATATTATAAAACAAACCAGCACTAAAATAATAATTCGGGAACAACATCAAGCATGCAACATGAGAAAACAATGCAGCAAGGATATAACTTATCATATGGATCCCGGCATTTGCTAAAAGAAAATTCCTCTGTTGCAAATTCAAATTCTGTAAACTTTTTATGATACATTACTAGTTTATGGACTTAAATTTAGTTTGCATAAAACAGGTTTAAAATTCTTGAATGAAACTGAAATTAAAAATATGCAAATTTTTATCGTAAGGACAGTAACCTCATGATAGCTGATCTCCTATCCTCCAGCAATCTACATAACTCAGCCTTTAACCAAGTTACCTGAGTATGCACAAAAATATTAATTGGTTAGGAAGGCAGAATTATAAGTGACAACGGATCGTTGAAGTCATGCATGAAGCAATTGATGAATAAATCAAGTATTTTTTCTTATTTGGTGACCAGAAGTTCTCAAATAAAAAAATAAGCAGCTTTAAAAATAAATTTGAATTTATGAGACAAAGGGGCCAAAGAGAGACAAAAGACTGGTGGGAGACAGGTAAGGGAGGAGGGAACTGGTGGGATGCAGACAGAAGGAGAAAATAAATCAAGAGTGGTGATAGAGAAGGGCTATATGGAAAATGATAAGGCCAAAGGAGAGATGCATTCAGGAAAACTGGTGTTGGGAAATTGAAAGAGAAATAAGAGGTGTAATAGAGAGGATTTAGAGATAAAGCGCAAGGGATGTTTGAAAGGGATTACATATGGACTTTGTTGTAAAAATAGAGGATACCATGAGGAGAGTGGTTGCTGAAGCAAAACGTCTCCATAAAGCATAACAAGAACTTCTGCTTTGTTTATTGAGAAAAAAAGAATAGGATAATAAGATGTCCTAAAATAAGTAAACTAAGAAGCAATTTAAAAAAAATCCATAAATAAACAATTTGAAAAAAAAAATTCCATAAATAAATAACTTAAAACAAATAAAAATTACTAAACTAGAATAGCTAAAATGTTCCCAATTAATTTACCATACGTCACGTTCAAAAAATCGCCATCCATTTTTCCCAGGTACCAAAAACTCACCCATAAATCATGTTCAAAGAAATAATTCTAACCAACGCTCATCCTAATTTGCACGAATCGGGATCAAGTAGATGGATGATTCGTCTCACTTAATCATCACAAATAGAAACAATTCAATTCAATTCAAAATTCATCCACAACACAAAGAAGCAACAACAACAACAACAACAAAGCCTTGATCCCACTACATGGGGTTGGCTACATAAATCCTTTTTCTCCATTGCGTCCTATTTAGTATCATATTTTCATTTAGTTCTAATAAATTAAGATCATTTTTTATACAGCAAAGCCTTAATCTCCACAACACAGAGAAGTGTGCATAATTAATTAACAAAACATATACATAGCTAGAAAATATCAATTTCACTTGTATCAATTTAACTCCTTGTGTGCATAATTAATTTAATATCCATATCAATTTAACTCCTTGTGTTCAATTTTTAACTCCAGAGAAGTGTGCAAGTGTGCACAATTAATTAACAAAAAATATACATAGCTAGAAAATATCAATTTCACTCGTATCGATTTAACTCCTTGTGTGCATAATTAATTTAATCTCCATATCAATTTAACTCCTTGTGTTCAATTTTTAACTCCAGAGAAGTGTGCATAATTAATTTAATCTCCATATCAATTTAACTCCTTGTGCAATCATATGAATTTATTTACTTGTACATTTATATTTATTATTTATTTTCATGACTTAGTAATTTCACTAGTACTTAAATAGACTTTAACTTAATTCATTTTCTTGGATCATCACACAGCCCGTCAGTTACAACAACCACTAATATAGGTTGATCATCTCCCAACATGATAATTATCAATGGTCTCTCTAATACTAAAATTTCCATTTTAATCTCAATATGAAGAGTCAAGAATTCTTTAATTTTTGTGTTATTTTAAGCTACATAGGCCGTCACTATAATTATCCACCTATCACAATATTGTTGACATTCTCTTGACCATTTTATCTGTTAAAAATCATCTCTCACGAGTATTTACAATTATATGAGCGTACATGCAAGCAAATCATTTAATGAAATGACTAAGAATACAATAAAATAAGTAAAATCAATAGTATCCACTCAAATTTATTTTTCTATAATATCTACAGGCATTCGACAATATGTAAGAAATTCTAAATACAAATTGGTGTCAATATATCACATATTAATCTTATTAAATATTATATTATTAATTTAACACATGATTATCTCACATGAATTGGCAGAACAACCATATTAGTATCCTCGAATTCATCTTGTAGTATACACAGCTTAGAATCAAAAGTCGCTTAAGAAATTCTCAAAATTCTTATATTAAACTTGACTTGACGCAATAATCTTAAATGAGATTTCCTACCTCAAATTGGTTTCCCCACATTCTAGACTACATTTTCTCTAGTTTTTTTAATCTTCATATTTATTCTTTCTTCCCACAACCAATTCCCATGAAGAAAGTTAGCTCCAAATGCAAATTACAAAGAGAAATAATAAAGAGTCACTTAGATTTTGGATTAATCACATTAAATATAAGACATTTTTTTTACTTAAATTTTTGACAATCGAACCCCTTGTTGACCTCATTTTTATGTGATTCGTCTCTTTTTTTCTCTAGAATGTAGAATCTAGCCTTAAGATTTTCCTAATGACTCTCCTAGAGAACTAGTGTTGGTACTCACTCCAACTAAAAATTGAACCATTTCTTAACCTCTTATAGTTTCATATGCTCGATTTTAAATCCTCAATATTTGGTTGGTTAACTGAGACCAACATATTGAAACCCAAGTGGAGTTCATATAGGTTTGAAAAGCCTTAAGAAAAACTTCTGAGTTTAGGGGTTTAGGTTTGGTGTGATTCTTTCTTTGAGGCAACTTCACTCACCCTTTAGATAACTCCACTCTTGACTTTTAGGGAGCTTGTTTTGATTATGAAGCATTCTTTAAAATAAGAAAGTAGCTATCTATTTAATAATTAAAACCATTAAATAAAGCTTTATTTTCTTTTAATAAAAAAATCATTAAATCAAAATTAATATAAAAGAAACTCTTTCAAAAATCCATAAATATAATCTTTAAAATTTTCGAAGTAAAATTTAAAAAATTCACAAAATACAAAAGATTCAAAAATAATAAATAAGAATTGAATATTAAAAAATATATATAGTAAAATAAAATTTAAGAAGACAATTTGTAACATTTCAATAATCAAATTTATTAATAAAAATTAAAAAATATATAATAAGATGATAATAATAAAGCATACAATCAAAATTTGCACTCATACTCCCACTCATTTTTTTGAGGGCTTCCTATGGGTCACAATTCATATTAAAGTTCACATAAATTTGGTCTTAAAACCCCTTGCCATATACTTGTCAAATTCATCTTGAATTCACTTCAAAATTTAAGTGAACTGTGAGCCACTTTCAAGTTCATTTGAACCCATCAAATTCAAACGTATTTGGCCATTTTTTAAGCAATATTCCATGCATAACTTCCTCATCAAATGCTTTTCTCCCATTGGCTCTCCCCAAAACCTCCTCCACTGATATTATAACCAACCTAACAGTAAGGAGAGGTGGGCACGTGTGCCATCCCATGACCATGGCTCCTTGGGCCAAGCTTGCCCAACCTGAATTCTACCATGGCACCTTCCCATTGGAGACCCCATCTATTTGGCTCACCTTCACTGGTTCTCAATTGACTCAGCCCCACCTCACTTTTCCATGGTAAAATGGATTGCACCAATGGTGAGCCTAGTCCTACCCCTTGCCATCACCTATAAATACCCCCATGTTCAGCCAAGACAAGAGACACCCTCATTTCCATAAAAAAAACTCTGTCAAATTGTTTTTTGAACTTCTCTTAGCTCCCTGGGATCATTTTCTTACCATTCCACTTAAATAGAATGGACAGCCTGGATTGTTTTGGGTTGATGCAATGGCGTTTGGGACTCCAAAACTGATCTAGAAAGCAATTATGGGCGGCCAACAGGGAGGTGACACGTAGAAGGCGGCGGCCAACAAAAAACCGACACGCGGCGGCAGTTTTAAATAAGAAAATCCTAATTTAGGAATTAATAAAATTCTTTAAATTCAACAGAACTTTAAAATATCATAAAAAATTAAGGAAAAATGATAAAAATATAAAATAAAATATGCTAGAAACAGGAAAACTATGAGAATTTAATAAAAATAAAATCAGAATATAATAGCATCAAATAAATTTTAAATAATTTTTAAACCATTAAAGCAACAAAAATTCATAAAATTCAAAATATAAATCAAAATAAAATGAAATTATATCATATTGAACTTCTTGACCATGAGATATCTCAGTAATTTTCTCATGAATAGAAAAGATATGTTAGTTATTTAAATGAAATTTTTTTGTAATTTTGCATCAATTAAAATAAATAATTCTATAAATTGTTAATATATTTTGGAAAATTACGAAATAACTTCTAAAATATTAATAATCCTATGGGTGATCATTTTATTCAATTAGATAGTAACTCTTGAGTATTGCATGATGGTTTATTAAACTTGCTTAAGAAAATAAATTTGTAAATATTATATTTACATTTTAAAAATTTCTTTTATATAAAATTGGAGTATATTAGGAGATATATGGGTAAAAAATATGATGAAATATTATTGGGAGGAATGAAACATGATTGGTTAGTTATAACTTCAATCAAATCAATAAAAATATGCAAAATGTTATAAGTATAATTAGCAATTTGTTGAGAATTTAAAGCTTTCAAGTGTTTGGATGATTCAATGGTGGATATTATTGTTTGGAATTGCTTAACTTACTGATTGAAACCCCACTACAATTTGGTTGAATTTGCAAAAAAATTACATTAAAATTAATCAAATTGGTAAAATTATAAATTTATCCTAAATTAACATTAAAATAAAAGTATATTAAATAGAATTATTGAAATTTAAAAATTGACTTGAATCAAATAAGTGAAGAATACATTAATAGATATATAGTGAATTTTGATGGTTTTGAAAGTAATTTAGGATAGTTTTGTTATTCTTCAAAATTGTAAAATTACCTTTATTACTTTAGGAGCTTCAAAATGAGCTATATATAATTCAAAATCACTTACATTTAAAATGGAACTCTTCATTAAGACATGAACAACAAAATACCATAAAAATTTATGAACTTTGAATTGCTTTTGAGGTAGATTTGAAAGTTTCTTTAAATTTGCAAAAATACCCCTATTATATTTTCACTC